ATCACAGTGCACTGTAAGAGGTTAAGAAGTAACCATAAAAGCAGATATTTAGTTACAAAACTATCAGATATCGTCTGGAGAGTCCCACAAAGTATCTCCATTCATCTCCATTGCGGTCACCAGTTCCCAGCAAATTAGGAGTGTTTCAATGGATAATGCACTCACGTGATCCTGTTTCTAATTCCTGTTCTGTGTATTATATTTATGGTATTTTTAATCTTTATAGGCTCAACAGATTGCTGAGAATGCCTACAATTTTGCCGTTAATAATCTTCTCCCGGATCACCTGTTCTGTTACATGTACACATTATTTAATGTAAGGATGTGATTCTTATATTGTTAAAATTTTTTAAATGGAAAGAAGTTATGTATATTGTAGTGTGTTTTACAATTATTAGGAATATGCTAAGTTACAGCAAGGTAAGGTACGTATACATGAAGGTATGACTGAAGTAACTACAGATGAGAGTCATTGGGCTAATTCTTGTCAATTTTGTTCTGTAAGTGAATATCACACCGATGTATGTGTATAATCTCTTTGTACACCTCATAGATTAATAAAAACAAGAAGGTTGAACTGTAAAATTTTCAAGCTGCTTTTAAAGTGTTAAATCTACTAGGAACTTGATGCCAAATTTCACTTATAGTCTACCATTTTAAAATTATTTTTGTATTTATAAGACATTAACAAACATAACCTGTTGGCATAAAGAAGTTACAATAGCTCTACAAATTCCTGGAACTGCTACAGTAACATTCCTATCAAAGAAACAATACTGCTACCTAAGGACCAGAAATGCTAAAAAAGATACAAGACAAATAGAATAGTTATCAGGCAAATTTAGATGCAGCCTGATAACTCACCTGATGCAGCCCATGATTCTGTTTATAGGATCATTGTTATTTGGAGTTCTGCTGAATTGTTTAATGAGCTTAGTGATTAAAAAATTGCAATGTATGGTTCTGTTATCTCCAGTTTTAACTTAATACGTGATGAAAGAGAAAATTAATATGTGTTCAATTTTGGCGGTTAGGATTGCAGTTTTCGAGCAGTCTAGCAATAAGGAAACTAATCATTATAACTCTATTAAGTATTAACATCATTAGAGGTCAACCTGGTAATGTTGTATAGTATGGGTATCAATAAT